TAACAGAGCTATGCGTCCAAAATATCTGAAGTGACTAGAAGCAGCAGTCAGTCGTGCTGTCAAAGATACTCTGGAGCAAAGTTTGCAGAGATAGAGCAAAATATTCACAGGACAAAACTACAAAACACAGGGGTAGTTACACACAGATCACCTGGTGATCAATAAACAGTACCTGATACTGCTGCTTGTCCCATTCCGCTCCAGGTGACCAGTGAACATCAAGGCTCTAGCTGGCACAACTGCCAAAGCTACCTAGATTTTAGGAATGTGACTCAGATGGACCAAACAAATCTGTAACCAGTCAGGTCACAGGCTGACAGTGAGTAAAAGCATCCAGTGGAGGCAAGCCTGGCTTCATTCTACCCTTCCCTGTCTATTCCCACTGTGTGACGAAACAATGGTAAGTGTTATAATCAAGTAGCACTCCAACAAGATTAATTGTTTATTCCTATTTAATATTTCATCCCCTTATTGAAGAAAGCAGGAGAGGAGTGGCAGAGATGGTATCTAACTCCTAGAGAAAGAAAAGTCAACTCACTTTGGGTTTACCTCTCATCTTAAAATAACCTGTTGTAGCCGCTATGAGCAGATGGGCTGCAGGAAACAGAGCTCAAAGTCCACGACTTTTATAACCAAACTATACTTCTTCCTTGTAGATCCTTGTACATTTTTTCTCACCACACAAACACATGAAAGACCTGACTTACAAAATGGCTAACTGAGACTGCTTGTTGTTCCACACACTGCACAGAGAAGGGTAAAGAGTTTCAGCCATTGCACTTGTCTTAGTATTTAGCCCAGATGCTCCATCTTAAACTTCCTAGGTGCTGTGTAAAACCCACAGATTGGAATAAATCTGCTCTCCCAATCACAGGGCTGATGCCACGATGCCACTCTCTTGTCCTACACACCTAGTGAAGCCCTTCAAATCAGCTGGGGATTCAGAGGCTACAGTATTTTTTTTCCTCCATTCTTCTCTCTGCTTTTAGTCTCTTCCTCATCCTTACAGAAGATGTTTGAGTTCTGTTACTACTTCTCCATATATTTCTATCCCTACAGTGATCTCCATTGATTGCAGTCTCCTCCTCTTAGGTCCCATGCTTCCTAACTCAAGCACCATCTATCTCCCCAGAGATACCATGTCTGCAAAAATCACCTTCACAAAACCATTTCCAAGGCTATCTCCCCTTCCTGCTATTGCTTATACTTCCTATCCTTATTCCCATCCAAGTGCTTGGCCTCACATAAGAGAGCAGAGATACGCACAGACTCATTGCTGCTTGTTCTTTGCCAGTCTCCCAATTAACTAAACCCATTTTCATCCTTCCCTCAGAACTGCTCCCCCTCTTTTGGTGTCAAGCCACTCTCCCACCCCCCTGTCCTCCTCAGAGCACACTGCTCCTTGGACTCCTTTCAACAGCAGCTAATTCAAGACATTACAGCACAGAAGCCTGTGCCAACATCCAGTGCATAAACAAAGATGAGATACATGAGAGGAGAGAACACACTGTCAGCATTTAATAACAAACACTAATTTGAAACAGGGGGATGGACTTCTCCATTCCAGTCCTCTCAGCAGCCTAAAGTGATCTCAGCCAAGGGACATGCCCATTCACAAAGAAGGATCCATTAATCACTAAATGACTCAGTAGCTGACTGACTGCCACCAGCCTGTGTGGTGTCTCACTGATCCACTGAATGGAGTGGGTCTTGGAGTTTTATTTGCACCTCATTAGTGTAGGGACACAGAAATATAAGGCCTCTAGTGATGCAATTTCCAAAGCCTTTCAGGTCTACTACAGACCTGTCCTATAATCCTTGCAAAATCTTAACTTCTCTCTGTGACTCCTGTTTTCCTGAGAAAATTGCCTTATATCAGATCCCAAAAACCTGCAGGCTGTTTGAGGGCTTCAGCAGTTCAGTATTTTTACTGAAAGCTGCTGCAAATGATAGATGGCATTTTTAATAACATTCTCATTTACCAGAAAAGCTGGTTTTCATCACAAGCAACATGGGGTAGAGAGACCAAGTATTTTCAATAATTTTGCCCCATCATTCATTGTGCTTCATAGATAAACAAATCCGACCTCAAATGAGAAGACACTCACGTAAACGACACTTTGGGTTCTCTAGAGCAGGCAAGTCCCTTTCAGCCATAATCCCTGTTTAGGAAGCATATGCAGTTATGTCACCCGAAATATCCCTTCTCTCCTCAGATAAGGGTACTGTAAAAACATTTAAGGAGCACCTGGGAGAAGAGGTATATGCAGTTTGTGGCCATGTGACTTTAGCACTGCCTCAAAGCCCCTCTTGCAGCCTTGCACTGTGTGGATTTCCTATGAGCTGCTGAATCCCTGCAGACCATGGGGTAGGGGGCACAGATCTGTAAACAATTGAGCCAAAGTTAAAACCTTGGTTCTTGCCAGTTGTATGAGTCTCCCTCAGTGAAACCATTATTCCCAGGACTTTCTCCCAGCCCACCCAACTCCCCAGTCCCAGTCCTGCCATCATGCCCTGGACTGCCTCTAGCACCCCTTGTGCACATCAATCAAGCCAAATCAACTGACTAAACCAGCAGAAACCAAGTCATTTTTTGCAGTTGAAGTGGTTTTATGTGACTCATAGGAGTCAAAGGAGGGAAAGGCAAACAGCAGAAGCTTACAGCCAAGCATGAAGAAACAATGCAGCGGAGATGGAAGGACAAGGCTTTTTCTTCCATCAATCATAAACCATTTACCTCACTTCATAGACTTGCATCCTGTATTTCCAAACAAAAAAAATCTCTAAACTTTCAGTCAACTGCAGACTTTGAATTCAGAGTGCTTTAGGATGTGCTTAGATGAAAAAGTAGTGAAGAAATAGAAAGTCAACACCCTTCCAAATTTCTACATGCTTTAGGGTTTCAGCTCCCGCAGACACACAAGGTGATGTTAGAAACCCTTTAAGTACGTCTGCAACTGAACTCACTGTATCCTGATGTATTCAGCTGCACTTGCATCACACATATTGCTCTAGTCCTCATGGTACTTCTCCACTGATTTTAACCTACACAGCCCTTCAGAATTCAAAGGCTGTCTCCTCAGTACCCTCCCCTCCTCAGGCTCTGGGGCCAGTAGTTGCAGCTTTACTAGTATATTTACTTAGGGCAGACTTGTGAGAAAGTTTCAGATTGTCTTGCCTTGAAAACTTCATTAACTTTGATGTTGCTTTCCAAATGCACAGCCTGCATTAACCTACATGATGTTTTACCCTTAACAACACTGAGCAGATTTGGAATCTGTGGAAAGATAGAAGATCTGGAGTTTACTGACCTTCACACTCCATTACAAAGTCCACCTTTCATTCAAGCTTATGTTTAATGAGATGACATGAAGGGCTTAAGTAATGGGGTATAGTATTCATATGGATATAAACTATCCAAGCAAAGGCCTACTCCTGCCTGTCTTCTTCCTCCTTTATCTTGCCCCTTGTGTCTCACAGCTTTGCCCCTTTGCCCTTGCTCTGACTCCTTCCTGATCCTCCCACCAGGTGACAATTTGAATTTTAAAGCCATTTATATTCCAAAATGTGCATAATCAGATTTTTATCCTGTACTTTTCTGATGTGACTTTTTTATTATGACATCAAGTACTGACCCATAATAAGGATGTAAATGCCCACTTTAATGTCTATTAGCAGTATCTGCAGATGCATATAAAATTATAGTATCATCACATAACTACATATTAACCTCTTGAGCTCCATGACAAACTCTCCAGGGAACACTGCATTCCAATTTTCAATTACCAGCAGTAGTTCAGTGACAAGCAGTAGAAGTTGTACTCATCCATATCCTAAACATTTGAGGTACTTGCAGAATGACAGAGAGTAGACATATTCTAAACAGACCAGCTCTGATGCTTCCAGTTGCCAGTTATTTGTGACAAGCATTTGGGTTCTTCCCAGGAACAAATACACAGTTTCATTTAAGTACACATACACATGGGATGTCACTTACCTGAAATAAATCTGTGGTTTTCAGCAAAGTTGTTTCTGAGTCATATGGTAGTCCACCATCACTGCCCAAAACAACTGGCAGAGAGAAGATAAGGTGTACAGCAACTTACCATATGTCATCTTTTATGCTTCTGTTAAGCAAACAATGCACTTTCCTCAGAAAATGCCCACTTAGCACAGGTGTGAGGTGTAATGTATGAGCAAAGAATGATGTGGACTACAGTACTTTACTGCAGTAATATAAGAAAATCATAATCGCAGCTATCTGTCCAGTCTGAAAATGGTATTAATGGAAATTCAAACATTTTGATTTTCATCTTTCAGCTTAATGGAATCTCTTTAAATGAGGAAATGGGTATTCAGCTTGCAAACAGAGCCTGCCAACCCACATCTAACAAATGAACACAAAAAAGCTTGTAAAGGAAGGCTGTTTGTCTTTTTGTTTTTTTAAAAGATGCACTAATTTCTCTAGAAGATGTAAACCAAGAGTCCATGGAGAGAACAGAACAAGACTTACAATAATAAGGATAATAGTTAGTATAATTTTCTCTTTCTACCCTTTTTCCTTTTTTCCAATACAGCTCAGTCAGATGACTGATTCTGGTTCCAAGGGCATTCTTCCCAAGATATACACTAAGACTTCTGATACTTTAAAACTTTGCTGAATTGGGCATTAGAAGGCAGCCTATCAGTTGTTAAACAACAGTCAGGTTTACTTCACTATACAATCATTACCCTGTAGTTTAGAGAAAAGAATCAAAAAGACATTACTTGAAATATCACTGCAAGACATGAGTCAAAATTCATGTCATCCTATAATGTTCAGGTAAAAGTATATAAAGTGTGATTGTTCCATAGCAAGTTTTCACCTACCTATTGCTCTTTCTTGAGATGTAGTAGACATGTTATTTCACAGCAGATTCTCTATGATACTATGCATTTGGGGCTGCTCTTTCAATTCCTTTGAAGTCCAGGAATCATAGTATTTCCAGAGAAAAAACATATTTGGGGAAATTAAAATACTTTTATAAGGAAACTCCAATACAAAGTGAATACATACCAAGTCCTAGCTCAAAAATAAATAAATAAATATATATATATATAGACACAGATATATATACATCTGGTTACAGATAAAAATACTCAAAAAAGGAAGAAATCCCTTTTCTGCCACCCTAAGTTGTCCCTTATTCCATACACTTTACAATAATGTTAAATCAAATGATTACACAGTTTATTTTTGAGACTCTTAACTTTATCCAGAGCACAGAATGCATGCCTCCAGAGAGGTGAAGGGCAAGAACTGAAGGAGATGAGCATAAATGAGTCAGACCCACTGGCAGAAAGGACAAAGCAGGAGGCTGTCCATGTTCTCATGATGAAAGCAACTGACCATCAGCCCTGGAGAGATGCCTGCCTGCTGCCATCTCTCTCTTAGTTGAGAAGCCACAGAAAGACATCAGCAATAGAGTCAGTGTTCCTCACCTCATCAGTAATTGTGGCTGGATGTGCAGAAGCTCTGAGTACTTATAGCTGCTAAGGAAGTTTGTAGGAAATGTAATTTGAACCTACAAAAGGGTACAAAGTCAGTCCCTGCAAATTGCCAGTGTCTGTGTATCTCATCCGAGGCCCCTGAAATTCAGAGATAATTCCTGGGCTTTGCTTCAGTCTCAAATTCCTCACTTATTCAATAACAGTGACAATAATATTCAAATGCTAAGTACACAAGTTCATTAACATTCTCAGCTGTCACAGCAGGAAGTACTCTGAAGATACTAACAAGTATCTCTCCTCTTCAGAGCGGAGTGTGGATGCTGCCCAGTAAATAAAGCTGGAAGTCAGCCTACGGGGGAAAAAAAAAACAAGCCAGCAGCTGTACATTCAGAGTCTCAACTGTCCTACACTAAGGCAGGAACCATGTGTGAAAGGGGGCAGATGAACAGACTGAGACAGACAACCCCCAAACCCAACAACAAATCATGAAAGTGCCTGCTTGCATTGCACTGCACATGCAGAAGGGCACTGATTACAGCAACATGCATCACTCAAATTGCAGCTTTGTCATCAGAGCACAAATTTTCTGGTTTGTTTTATTTGTACTTGAGGGGTGGGTGGGGTTGCTGAAGAAGATTCTTGTTGAAATGTCTAAAAACATATATAAGCAGATGAAGCCCATAGTTTAGAGCTGTGCAGCCTATCAGTGTGGGACGAGGGTGAAATGTCACCTTCTCCAGGTAGCTCCGGCATTGAGTGCAGAACAACAGCCACACCTCATGGCCCCCTCTCCCCACCCTGGAATCAAACCTTGCATGTCTAATTCCCTCCTTCCCGTCTCCACAGTATCTGAAAGGACCAGCAAGATTCATGAAAGCTCCCCTTGCTGTTCACTGGATGAGCAAGAAAGAAAACACAGGACTTCTTTCACACACCATACAACACTCAGCAGTAGGAGCATCTGGATTAAAATGGGAACATGTGTTTCCCCATGGAGGAGGGCTAGGTGAGTCCAAGCACTTGCAAATTATTTTGTGAAGCAGGATGAAGAAGAGCCCTAAAGCAACACTGCTGAACCTCTCAGGAAGCTGGTGTCAAAATTACAAGGGAAACATCATTGTCAGTATTGGCATTAGTTTATCAGAGCCACTGGTCTGCCATCACTGCACCTGCAGGCAGTCTGTGAGCGATGACACTTCTCAGAGGAAGATTTCTCCAATCTTTAGGTACAATTCTCCAGTTTCCAGTAAAATTTTTAGTGTGCTTTGAAAACTCTGTGTGCTACATCTGCCCTATTGCAGCAACTCCTAAGATCTGCTCACATTCTCATATTTAGACACCTCCCACCAAAACTCCCCCACAAAAAATAAATTAAATTAATGTAGTTTACTACTTTGAAACCCTATATTTCATTTAAAAACTAAGTATCTGTTCTTAATGGGAAATTCCTCTATGCCAGTGGAGAACAAAATTTGCACTCCAGTTTTGAAATGCCCTTTTATTTACATGTGGCAAGTTCTCCATTAATATATAGCAAGTCGATTTGCATTCATCTGTAGTTTCAGTTGATTTTTATGGGCTGGAAAAGCACAAATAAAGGCTCATGGTTTGAAAAATATCAAAATTGATAAATGCTATCATAGTCAGCCCTGTTATCAAGCTTACCACCAGTTATTCAAACTGAACTGAGAAAATTCTCAGGATATAAAATTAAGGACATGTAAAAAAGCACCATTCACCTTTTCCTTTTTAAATAGAAATGAACATAATTATCAGATTAAATGCTTCATTACTCAAAATTTTAAAATTACAAAATTGTATGTAGGTGTAAGACTGAAACAGCTAATTTTTAGACATCTGAAATTTTTGACATTACCAGTAGTTTGCCATATCTGAGCCCTTCCTATAAGACAATCTATTGCTCCTTGTTCCAACTACTTATACCTAACAAAAATCAGCATATTTCACAGGGAACATTTCCCAGTTCTCACACATGCAGCTTGTAGACAACCCTCTACTCCAAATATGGTGTTAAAAACTTGAAGCCATTTCCAAAGGATCTTGATCTTTTTGTTTAAAAACATTTAGTCCACTTGGGATCTAATTTTTACAGTTTATTCATTGGAACAGTTCAGGTAGAAGGATTCCTGTGTTGCTCCTACCACAAATATGCATAGCTATTATTAGTGGGATACAAGCATAGGCAAAAGAAAATGAGAAGTCCTCTGTTCATTTAATCTTTGAAGTCACTGTTATCATGGTAAAATAGAATTATGCCAATCTATCTTAAAAGGATGTTAGTGCTGGCAAAATGAATTGATATCCATTAAACTATCAATTGAAACTGATCTGCTCATTTAAATGACATCCCATTTGGGACGGGGCAGATCTGAAGCAGTGTCTTAGAAATGAAAGGCTACTTAAGAAACTCTGGAATTGTTTCAAATTCCAAACAGGGAGCATCTCACTTGTCTAGAGACAATGTCCTGACAAACTGGGAAACAAAATAATTACAAAAAAACTCTAAAGAATGGACATGATAAATTACCTCAAATCCTTCACTGAGGTTTGCAATTCAAAGCAAGAAAAGCATAGTAACTCCCTACAGACCTTCAGATTACAGTTTATACTTTATACTTATGGAAACGGTCAAGGAAGCATGCAGATTAATGGAGAGCCCAATACTGTAAATCTAGTCAGATGTCAGCAAAACCTCTCTTCCCCCACTCTCAACTCAGTTCACTTTATATCAGATAAAACACATCTTTCATATATTGATTTATTTCCAGTTTCTATAATCAGAACAGAGATTCTGCAAGAGCCTCATTCAGAGAATACACATCTTATTTAAAACAGAGGAATACAAGCAGGAATCTTTCTTATTTACATGTTAACCTTAAAATAGAGTACCAAGAACCCAGACTCCAACCCCTATCAAACAATTAAATCTTATGACCTCATTAAATATTTGGGACATGCACAAGGTAGCTCTTGATAGACTTTGAGTAGACCTTTTTGTGAGCTATCTCTAGGAGAGCCCTCTTTGACAGGAGGAAGCTAAAATGCAACTGATGGTAGCTTTGCTCACTATCTGGTGTTGTCAAAACCTGAGGGAAAACTCAAGGACTTCAGCAGTGCCCAAGGACTCTGGTCAGGCCAGACCAGTCTCAGATCATGGCACTCTTAGAAATGCCTCCAGCAATGAAATCTCACATGCACCAATATAAGCAACCTACGTTTTAGGTCCAAGTTCATTTATATGCCCATCTGCAAGACAAAAGATGCTTTACTACTTAGAATTTCCAATGCCACAAAGGGTTTTCTACCACACAGGCATGACACCTCTGATCTTCTGATAAAACTAAACAGACTGAGCTCTTAAGTATTGCAAACTATAAAAATGGTTGGTACAAAATTGCACTATAATACTGCTAAAGGAAATGCAACAATTTTTTTAATAAAAAAAAATCTTACTTTATAGGACATTGTACATTGAAAAGCAGTAGTAAGAACTTTAAATTCAACTGCCTGAATACCACCTCCTATGATAGTGTTACAGCATTGTTTGGGCAGCAAAGCCTAGCAGCATATTTGGCTATATGAGTATATGAAGCCTGAATAGCAATATTAGAACACTCTTTGAGGAGTACCATAAATGACTCTTAACAGTTACTCTGTAACTCTGAAGAATACTTTAAGTATGGACACTAAAACTGAATGCATATGGATGTGGAATACTGGGAATTTTCATGCAGGAGCACAATTAAATGACAAGTTTTACAGTATGATGCTTATGAAAAATGATTTATATGGGTTAGTGGAGTACATGGGACTTGTTAACTGGGCATATAAATACATGGCAAAAAAGCCTCATTGTAAAGAAAGAACAAAAATTTTCAACCTTGCTGGAAAAAAAAGCATGGTAAGAAACAATGTCAGGATGTTGATATTAGGAAAAAAATATTCCAAGAGAAGATACTATTTACTTATAAAAACAGTAATCAATAAGAAAACTGATTACAAACAAAGATATACTAATCCTTACTTGATGTTTTCATCATCAGGATGTGTCCTTGTAAAAATATATTTAAATCCCATTGCAAGCTAAATACTACAACCAAAAGTTCAAAAATGTTTTCTCCAGCCCCAAAGAAAGTTTGTACCTCTTTCTGAGGCAGGACGCTGGGCTAAGAGAACACTAAAAAAAAGTATCACTCTATTACTGCTTTATCTTTACAGTACCCCTAGGCAGGCAAACTAGGTCACTGTGAGAGACAGACTACCAAGACTAGCACACCTTTGGTCTGACACAGTACAGCATTTTTTATGCTGTTCATCCCAGTTCCTTCAGAGTTTACAAGGACGAGATGGCAGCTTTGCAAAACCCTGATCATCCTCATAAAACTGGCTTCTCTGCTTTAGGACATTGAATACTCTAGCTCATAACACACAGGGCTCAGCAATACTTTTCTTGATTATTGTCTGCAAATATATATATATATATATGTATATATATATATATATATATTTTGCATCTTTCTCTGATATAACACGCTGACCAGTCCATTTTCCAGTTTCACCAATTTTTTAAGTTGGTACAAGAATTCTCTTTACATAGTATGCCAGTGGGCACATTTTTTCAGCTGACTGGACTCACAGTGACATCCCCATTTGCATGGGAAGGCATTCTAGCCACAATGAAGTTGAGAGTTATGTTGAAAGTTCCTTCTGTCTCTACAATGTAAATCTGTATTATGTCAGGTGACTGAGGCCCAGCCACACGTGGGTCTCAAGACACTGGTGCCAGTTTAGTCTCCCTGCACTTGCCTGTGGCACTATTCCCTCTCTTAGAAAGAGATGCTTTGGTATAATTAAGCCATTATGTCCTCTGTGCTGAGTTCAAGCCTTGTACTGGGTAAAGTTAATGGCCTAAGATAATCTTGTTTTACTTCCTGTATAGCAAGTGTCCCCTTATGCTTCATGCCTTAAGAAGCATTACTGTAAAGTACTTTTCCTGCATTTTATGGTACAAAAGGATGTTGCAATCACAAAACACAAACTGGAACAGAACACAAGAAACAAAGACACAAAAATGAAGTATCCCAATGAGAACAGAAGTTCATCTTCCTTTGACAGTCTCCTAACAGACCATTAAAATACATTTTCTGAACAAATGTAGCATCCTTCACTTTTGCTTTACTGAAAAATTATCTGGTTACAAACTCAAGACAACAAAGCAAAGTTCTTATCCACTTCACATAATTTCTTTTCAATATCTAGGTACATACATTGCTTTTTGTAGCATCTTCCTTCTTAAGCACAGAAGGGGTTACAATAGAAAAGGCACTCCTTCATGCTTCTTGTTGCCCTTCCTACAGTTTCCCTTCTCATCCTCAGCCCACTAAACAAATCTCCGCAATATCCACAAAACAACAGCAAGAGCAGCTACAGTTTGAAGGACAGCACTAACCTACTCAATGTCATTATTCAAGAATGATGCTGGCAAGACACACCTCTGCATACCCCAATCACAAAGCTAATCTATCATTCAGTAGCACTAGTCCCAACCTCTAACAAGTTTCTCTCCGGGTCCTGTTTTGCTGCTTTCTCCACTTGTTATCTACCTTAAAATCATAAATCCATCATGTCAGAAACTACATTCTTTTAATTCAGTCTTCTCCAGTACTTACCAAACTTGGCATTAAGGATATAAAGCTATTAGGGAGCATCCAAAGGAGGACTAAGAAGATGGTTCTGCTCCTCAATGTATTTAATAATTCCTTTTTAAAGCACAACCAGCCTTCCTAGATTCCTTTGGGACTGACTCCCAAAGTCTGTCCACTGCAAGTCCATGGTGGAAATTCTGCTGGTGCCCTACCTTACTTCACCCAGAATTGAAAACTCTAACATTTCATGGTCCCTATGCCCAAGACAGCCACCAACCACCACATCCCTCACTGGACCTGTTTGGTTGGACTTGATGATCCCTGTGGGTCCCTTCCAACTCAGGATATTCTATGATTCTATGATTTAAAGGACTTGAAATGCCTTTCAGTAGCACTCAGTATGATCTCCTCTAAAATTTTTCTAGGTACTGGGGCTAGATTAGCAGGTCTGTGTTTCTTTGGTCTCATGTCATGCCCTTCTTGTAAACTAGAATAATGTTGAGTAGCTTCCAGTCAGCATGGGCCTTTCCCAGACTCCCAAAATCTTCAGTAGAGATTCAGAGAGGTCATGCTACAATAACCACTAACTCCTTCAGTATTCTGGGATTAATCCTACTTGGCCTCATAGACTTACAAACATTCAACTGGTCCTTTACAGTCTCCATTACACAAAGTCACTATTCCCACAGTAATGGTCCTCCAAATCAGAAGACAGGGCAGCCCAAGGTATGTCAGTATTATAATGAGACCAAGGCAAAAAAAGTACTGAATGCCCCCACTTTGTCTTCAGTCCAATTTTTCTGGTGATCATCTACAACAAATATCAGTCCAATGTTTTCCTTAGACCTCTTCTTGCTATTTATGTACTTCAAAAAGCCTTGGTTGTCTGACATAACACTGGCCAGTTTCAACTCTAAGTTTTGGTCTTTCATATCTTCTCCCTGCATATGTGAACTACAGCACTGTAATTTTTCTGAGAAGCTTAACCTTGCTTCCGGAGATCATACAATCTTTCTCTTTCTGAGAGTCAAGAGGACTTCCCTGTTAAGCTGGTCATCTGCATGGCTTGTTCGACTTTCAACACAGAGAGATCACCTGCTCTTGTGCTTTTAAAAGGTGATTCCTAAAAACTGACCAGACTCAAGGAACAACACACTAGTAACTAGCTCACTGAGTTTCCTAAAGTTAGCTCTGTTGAAATTCAGGGTAGAAACCTTGCTGATAGCTTTCTTCATTATATCAAAAATTTTAAAATTACCCATTTCATGATCCTGTGGCAAAGGCAACCACCTACCATCATACCTCTCAAAAGTCTTTCTTTATTAACAAATAACAGGTTTAGGAGGGGATCTTTCCTAGTTGGCTGAATACTTGTGACTACAAATTATCTTCAACATACTTCAGGAACTTCCCAGACTTGCTTGTCACAATAGTATGGTATTCCCAGGTCCTGTCTGCGAAGTAGAAGTGTCCCATAAGGCCAAGGAGAAAGACAACAAGAGGGAAGACAAAACTGAAATAAGGCTGGGGAGTCCTGGTGGACAAAAAGTAGAATAGGGGTGACCTGCATATCTTTGAAGCAATAATCACATACTGGACCATCTTTGCAGAAGCACAGCTACTAAATCAAGGCATGTTATTACTCCTTTCTACTCAAGCAATCCATGTGGGAATCAGTATCTTTCACACTGAGGACTGTGTGAGCAGAGTGAGTTCTAAGATATCTGCCTTAGATGAAAAAAAGAGGCAAAACAATGGATTTTATTCATCTAAGAATGCTGTAGATACTAAAATCTGTATCAAGGTACAAGGTATCTGTATCAAGTCTGAAGATATATTTTGATAAATACCCTGGAGTAGCAAGATACACGATACATTTAGCTTGCCTACCACTCAGTAGAATCAAATTTGGTTGAGAATCTGACTGACTTGTAAATGGATTCTAACCTAGAAATAGGAAAGACAGGGCAGTTGCAATAATTGGAGTCTCCTGGAACTTCCACAAAGTTGCCATAGCAGGAAGTATGGCTTGTCAAGACACTCCCACAGTTGTACTTCAGTACTGCCACGGTTACAGTCTGCCTTTAAAGGCAAGAAATACCTCTTAGGAGTTAACAACCTAAGTAAGGGCTTAACCAGATAATACTGCTACTGACCTCAATAGGGAAATATGATAAATTCTTCCCTGCACTCAGAGAAAAATCACCTGAAACACTGCAACCCACCCCTCTACCACCACTATGAGATGAAGGCTCTTGATTCCCTAACACCTTTCTTGAAAAAGCTTTTAAAGCATCCTGACATCACAGAAGAGAGAAAACTATTTGGACAATACTCAGAATACTCACAATGTAGCAAGATATATCACAATTGATTTTAAAAAGGGAATACAATGGCTAAAAATTGTACATAAATAAAATAAATTGTATTTACTGTATAAAGCTGAACGGTCAGTAATCTGAGTAAGTCTGTTGAACAGACTCAAATTCAGAGAGGTTGTGGAGGATACTCCACATGATCAAAACAAGTCAATTTCACAAATCCTCTTTTAGGGCACCACTCCTTATCATTAGAACAGCATGCAGTTTAGATTACAAGGCTTCAAATCCTAAATTTTATCTGCAAGTTGTCAGGAGAACATTATCACCTTCCCCATTCACTGTATTCATGAGTACTAGATAGTCAAACTACCACTTTTCAGGTTTACCTTCTCTTCAGATGTTTTAGATTGCAGGCCTTCCAGTGCTGAAGCATCCTGTGTTACCCCTTAGGCATCATTGTTCAAAATAGCTATAAATAAGACAAAGCCATGACAACTTTAAAAAAGGAACACTTCTTCCTTTATAAATTGTTACAGTTTGTCCGGTAATCCAAACGGACTTCTGTATTCCTCCATTAAGGTAAAAAAGGGTTTCCCTGTTATAATTACTTCTAAAATGTACTACACAAATTAAGAAAAAAAAAAAAGTTTGAGAAGGATTTATAGTGACAGATCTGAGTTTGCTTGTGCTGCAAAATATAAATCCAATTTGGATGTCTCCCCGAGAATAAGTAGGTATTAGGGATCAGACACAGTGTGCATGTCCTATAACTACCTATATTTGTCAATCATGATTTAGCAAGTCATTCAGTTTCTGTTTCGTCTATATTATGATCATTTCCCCTTTTAATACACAGCTTATATAAATCATTGCTTCATATTCCCCCAATCAAATCTATCACTCTGTCATTTGATTCATAAGAGAACCGAACACTGCAGAATCAGTAAAATCACGCAAATTTTGCTGTCTGCTTGAGAGTGCTAGATGCACTGCCACAATCAAAACAGACTTTACAAGTTTAAACAGTCCTGTCTGAAAGCTCCACATGAGGAAAGGAAAAAGTTCTATTCATACAAACAGGATTTAGAGGACTCAGGAAGCTGTGAGGCCACCTTTCCTTTGTACATGCTATACAGGTACATATTCTGAAAACACAGCCCAAGATAAGTCCATATATTCTGCAACACAGAAGGCAACAGCAGACCAAGTTGAAGTTCTGTGAAGAGAATCTCTTTAGTGTACACTGCAGTATAATGTGCAATCATCTCCAGTCGGTACAGCAGACAATACTTCTGAAAGGAGAGGAAGCATGATTCAGGAGTCTGATCTATACCTGTAACATTCTGAACTCAGATGACACTTAAAATGGCTTTTTTTTGTTCAATGGCATGTCAACTTCAACAAGCATCGTTTAGAAACACTAACGGATATTTTTTAATTTATACACTCAGATATGTATGTTTTGTATAATCTTCTACCATACTGCAACAATATTCAAGGGTCCAGCTTTCTATCTAGGACACCAGCTTGCACATTTATGTCCAAGTAGTTCTCCCAAATCCTTATCCAGTAGGAATGAACATGCAGTACACAATAAAGACTGAGGACATTCAGAACGAGGGAGAAGGAAAAGGTCAAATGGACAGTGCTGCCAGTGAGCTAATGGCAATTTCTACATAGACAAGCACCATATTTGCTTTACCAGAAGCAACATGATTTGAATCCATCAGCACATGCCCAGAAAACATTCTGCTAATACAAGATTCAGGTTTCATGTTTCAATGCGTTAATATTCCCTCTTCATTCCCCAGCCAAGACATCCTTCTGGTCTGGAAGCAAGCAGAGGGAAACTCCTGCCTCCTTGAATGGCAGTGGGACTTTCACCATGAAAATGCCAAATACATAAACAAGCAACATGTCCAGTGGGTGAAGAAAGATATGAAAACCCAGAAGAACCTGTACATGACCTACTACATATGAGCTGGAATCAGAGAAAGAGATGAATTCATAATAAATACAGTAATAGCAGGAAAATTTCTAAAAGCCACTGCAGTCCCAACACTGATTACCTTTTCTTTAAACATAGATTTACAAAGATGATTAGGTGTGTGAGGCACACAGACCAGCCTGGATGATGGCACGCATCACGCACCAATACTGGAGATACCACTACTGCCAAACATGATGTTCGGTGCAAATAAACACCAGAATCAAACACTTGCAAAATCGAGCAAGCCTTTACAGTTGCAATGCTTCCTTTTAGCTGTACCCAGGGTTCTTCTCTGGCGGCATTTTAAAAAAGTTACTGGAGGCAGCAATAGTAGATTTCTCAGCTGCTGGTGTTTTCTCAGTCCACTCAGAGTTCTGGGATCTCAAGGAAGGTGTTGCTGGTAGCTCTGATTCTGCCGCATCCATGTGGACAGATAACGTTGCTGGAATATAAAATTGCAGGAAGGGGGAAACAGAGAAAGACAGTAAGAAAGGGCAATAAAAAAATTAGAAAAACTGACTTAATGACAAACCCCTCATATATATAATTTAATTTATGAAGATATTATTTATTGAATTCCTAAAGGTTCTCCATCCAAATTCCTCTAAAATAGAGGTCCTTGACAGCATTAACAATTTTGCTCTAATGATTCACACATTCAAAACTCTACGTTCCCAGTCCACTAACTAGTTCCCTTAGTCAGAGTTCATGTTGAAAATCAAAAGTTTTAGCTGTCCCATATTTAATCAATTCACAATCATTCAGCTTAAAATAACTTGGACTCCTTGCAAAGACTCAATTAGCTTTCTACTTGAGACTTTCAAAGTCTCTGAAGGTGTGGCAAATTTCAGGTTGCTAAGCTCATCTAAAGAGGAAAACATACCTCTCCTCACCCAGTAAAGGCAGTACCACGAACCTCCACATATATTCAACATGATAAATCAGCATATTATGACAAGAAACTACTTTCCAAAGTAGGTTGAAATCCATTCTTATTTTCTCAATATAACCACTGCTTCAAAATAGGACAGGCTATAATAGCCAGAGAGATTTGCAGATCCATAGCTCAACTCAACAGCCACCCAAATTTCCAGAAGGATTGCCAAAAACCTAGAGATATGAGAGTTCAATCCAATTCTCAGTATCCTGAATCACTCAATCCCCACAAGCAGAACAGTGCCAGGTAAAGAAGAGAATTGCCATAGGAGTCTTCAGGGTAAACAGATTTTTTTCAAATAAGTAACTACTTCAATAGAAAATACATTTCTTCATTGTAGTCTCACAACAGATAATAGTTGTTTGTGTGTCTTAATTACAAGTTGCATCTGCTGCTCTGTAGTGGATGAAAGATAAAGATGCCACAGCAAGCCTCAATTAGAGGACAGATTGCTTTGAAGTTTAAATAAAAAGCTGGTTCAATGCTTGAAGTTCCACATTTAGTAGATCTGGAACCCCAACAATGCTGCTTCTGTAAATCCAAAATGGTGAGTCACATTCCCATACAGCTACAACACAGCTGACAAAAGTATCTTGCAATTTTACATCCAGTCCATCATCTTCCTCCACCTGAAGGTCATATGAAACATGAAAAAAAAACCAACAACTAAATCAGTCCTTAAACTCACAATCACCACCGATACTACACTATGCGCTCCTTGCTAGCAGCCTCCACACTCAGGCTCTCCATCTTTCCTGATAAAAAGAGAAAAAGAAAAGGACTGAAACTGGCTTCTTGTTTCTGGGCATGGCAGAGTGAATAATTAGCAAGAAATAGGAGAGGGAAAGTTCACCAAATTGCTATTACTCATCAGACTGTTCTCCAATAAGCAGTCTCACAGGCTGCTGTCACCTTTTTTACAAGCTAAGTGTGAATACATGGCAAGGCAGACAAAAATTTATTTATGCATATTTTTACCCCAGACTCACTGTAATAGCTGATTAGGATGCCAGTTACCATGTGCACTGCTACATACATAGAGGATTGAACCACATAAACATTAAAAACATCAGTGTAAAGATCAGTAGTTGTTCACCATTTATGACACAACCATCTGTACTTGTGGCCTATTCTAACAAAATGAAGACAGACATGACAGCCTTCATCAGATTCCTTTCAAACTAGAGAATAACTTCCATGAGAATAACATTTTATGCAGTATTTCTCAGACAAGCCCTACTGTGCCACTGGGGATATGATTCCAAATTTACTGGATTGCAATGGAAAGTAACTAAACACAAGGACACTATCCAAGCTTTCCAAGGTTCAGATCACTGAAACGTCAAAGGACCTTTACCACCACAGACCTTCTTCCTCCCTAGGCACTAGCTGTTGGTCACTGAGTTGGATGAATCTCTGGTCTAATCCAGTACAGTCAGCCTTAACTTCCTCCAGATTTCCTTATTCTACTGCCAAACTACACCAGCCAGATTTTGGTTCTTATCAAGTGAAGGCCTCATGCTTTAGGGCTCACACTGTTCGATTGTCTTAGTGTGGAAAACATTAATTTTCAGTCTCTCTGAATATTTGCATAAGTTTGTCCAACTTAATTTTGATAAAAGTCATTTCCTGAAGTGCAAATTAATTCTAAATTTTCTACCCACTTTTTGTTGCTCTCAACAGCTCAGTTATGGTATTTAGGCCAGTTAGCCTCAAAGAGCAGGATTAAGACTTGCACTTTAATACTATAGCAATACAATAGAGACCCAAGGCACTTCTACAATGCAGTTTTTTGATGTTCATGCAAGGGTCTCTGGGAAAAGATACTTTATCAGAACTCAGAAATACTCACAGTCATGAAAGTATTTGAGAAGACACGGAATAAATTTAGTTCCTTGGTTCCCAAATAAATATTATCTCTAGCTGCCTTTTCTCATTCCTGCACTGAGGAGGGAAACAGCATCCACATCTCATCTGCCTTTTATTAGCATCTTCTGATTTCAGCCAAATTCAACTCAAAACTTTCTGTGGATGGTGGAAGGGTGAGGCGACAGGGGAAGATTTGTAGCTGCATGTTTAAGAAAGAAGCTAAATTCATCACAATGACAGGGGATAGTGTTGGCAGAGATTTGAGCTATTTATTCTTTTAGGAAAATCCTATAAAGAATGACACGAGGAAGCCTCTATCTGCAGTCTTGTTCATCACACTGGTGAGGAGTCCGATAACAGATGTATGCAGTAGCGTGATTTAGTGCCAGGAGCTGGCCCCTGATGTGTATTAATACAGCGGCAAAGCGGAACGAGCCCCTCTTCATCACTCATCTCTATAAAAGAGGTGGAATCCGAGATGGCCCGATGTTCGGCAGAGCAAGCCCATTTGTTCTGCTGACTGATGAAGCCAGCTCAGGCTGTGTCCTTCACCTCCACGGGGCACTCAGGTTGCAAAAAAGAAGATCACTGAAGCAGGACCTGGTCAACAAGTGAGACGAGAGCAGTTGGACTCATCGAAGGAGCTATTTAAAGGTGAAGAAATCCAGCACTCTGTGTCTGCATGACAGGCACGGGCCTGTATTCTGATTTACCTGTGCTTCACCTTCTGCAAAAGTAAAATACCACAAACACAAAAAGCCTCACAAGTGAAAAAACAGAGACTGCCACAACTCCTCAGGCACATGGGAACCCCAGCATATAGTATTTATATGGGGGTGAGTAGATGCATGGCAAGGGAGAAAAATCTTAATTTCATCAATATCCAGCAAACGTAAGCGTGTCCAATTAATTCTACATTGCAGAATAATACTAAGTATCTTTTTAGGCATTAATAATTCCATAGCAAAATCTCCTTTGACAGAAATAACATCAAATTCCCGAAGTTACCAAGTTACATGTCGAGGTTGTGCTTCAGCTATAATTGGGAGTCTATAGTAGAACATTATTTAGGACACAACTTCAGTTACCCAATCATAAAAGTTTTCTTTCCACAAGTCAGTACTGCAGCAAGTCCTGCCCACAGCTCTTCACTTGGCTGATGATATGTCTAAATAGGATCTCAGGAAGAGATCTTTACCATTTCTGACCATTAAAGACTTTGCAGACCTTGTCTCTCGATGATCAGCATAAGCATGCTGCCCATACTCTACTAACTACATTTCTTCCTTATTTTGTAATACGTAATAATCCTCTCTCCCTCTTCCATAGTTAATTTCCAAACCCGTGTGCTATTTCCAGAGCTAAGTTCCACTCCAGATGCACTCTCAACTCTTCAAAAAGTGTTCAGTACACAATTTGCCTAATCAGGCAAGTACAACTTAAATAGCACTTTGAAACATGTAAGCATGGAAACAGAAGCTCTCCTTATAGAAAGTGACCAGCAATCCAATACATAATACATTCTGAGTAATAAATAAATGGACAAGTGACAGGGGAAAGCGAGACATTAGCATTCATACAAAGAAAATCTAGTATTCCAGTGCTAAGATTCCGTGGTTTCAGATACTATCCCTTTTACTACAGAAGTTCAAATATCCCAAAATGGAATACTCAAAAGCCAGGAAAGAATAACCTAAATAAATAATCAAGAATAGATGAGACTTTTGCTGAACAACAGATTATTAATGTTCTTCTCTCTTCTTTTTTTTTAGTACAGAATCTTTCTGACAGTTTGCAGTCCAGATCAGTGGCCTGGAGAGAAAGCTCAGCTTTCTTCCCTACTTCATTATTCTGTCTATCCACCAGCCCAAGGAAGAAACACAACTTCCTCCTATTAATCACCAGTTTATTTGGTCTTCCCCACTGTTTTCACATCTCCATTTTTTCCATCATCTTAGCCACCACCTTGTTACTGGATTACAAGAACAGTTATTAATAAACTAGTTGGAAGAACATGTATCAGTGGATAGTCGCAAGACAGCGTAAGGTGAAGGGACAGAAAGAAGCATCCTAAAACGCACCATGTTCACCAGATTAAAGCTTTTTCATATTCTGATGACTAACCAGTGATTTTTCACAAATCTGCCATATGAAAATAGACCAGCCATTTAATGACTACATACCCATAACAAGAAAAAACTATTTTCATCCAAAAGTGTAAGACAACCTGCAAGGGATAAGTAGTTTCACCCAGTGATTATGCAAAAATTGCCAGATTTTTGTTCCTGTTAAAAGTGTCTACAAACACCCTGATAAAGGCTTCAGAGCCACCAGCTAATGCCAGCCCAACACTGAAGGAACACACTGTGCATACTGATCAACTGCCTATTACCATTAACTGCATAATTTAGGACAGTGGAAATAACACCTTATGAAGAAGCAGGTAACTATTCACAGTAAGGTGAAGCACTGCAAATTATATTAACTTAACATTGCTACATTGCCAAAGAATTGTTTAGTAGGCAGCTTTTGATGCTATGCAAAAATACGATATGCCCTCTCAGACATTTCATTAGTTTCCAACCACAGTAACACTACCTTTGCCTAAGGTGCTTTGCTCAAAAGGGGCAAGACTATAAAAATTATGGCAGGTTACCTGATGTTGGGCTAGATATGGAGGCTGCAGCTGGCTTTCGTTTCCTCTTGATGTCCCTTGAACATGGTGGTCCCAGGTGGACATTTGCTTGCCTATGGAGAAGATAAACTCAGTTCCAATATCACATTTCTGTAAGACTGACCAGTCACCTCCAGCTCCTACTTTCCCAAAGTAAGTAGCACAACCCAAAAGTTTCTCAGGGAGTTTTGCTCACATTCTTTGTCAATATTTCTATTTCCTTTAACAGCTCACACAAAAACTATTCAGAAGAATAATTATTTCTTAACCTTTAAAGCCTTTTACCTTCTGGTTTTGTATTAACTCCAAACAAACTCCTTGCATACATAAAGATGTAATGAAGCAGTGATATGACAAGTGTCCTATCATTACTTCTATGCAAGAATAACAAATGTGTGCAAGATTGCTCTTTACATAAACTGTGTAATATTTTCTCCTTAGTCAGAGATTATTTTGCAATCTATTTGGTACTGTAGAGTCATCTTAGAATGTACCTATAATGCTAAATGCCCGTGCATGTTGTTTCCATTACAATAGTTAAGTTTGTAAAGTTAGGAATGCAAAACTGTCTCATGCATTTTTAAAATTCTTACTTCCTTATTAAAGTGCTGTGCAAACAGCTGAATCTGACTTATGGCAGCCTTGTTGCACCTCTAAACTGGCTGAACAGCATGATCTGTTCTGTTAATATCAACGGTTAAGTCTGAAGCCTACTGATGGCTGTTTCTGTTTAATCATTTGTCAATTAAGAAGTAGCCATTTGCCAATGAAGAAGAAATCTGTATTGTTGGAACTGACTTGAGTTGAGAACTCCTCCAAATCATATAGCTGTAGAAAGCAGAAAAGTTTAATTCAGAAATAATAGTCTTTGTAGCAGACCAGAGAACTTCCTCAAATACTGTCCATAATGACTATAAATGCATAATTTAGCAATGATATTGGATTCAAATCCCTTCTTTGTCTAATATAACAGACTTCTGTTGGCAAGTTTCTTGGTCTCTCTTATAATCAGATCTGATGTGCAGTATCAGATCTGAAATGCAGTACAGTGCAAATAAAATCAGTTAAAGACTGTGAAGAGCTTACATGATGTAAAATTCGTAACCCTATAAGTTTCGATGATTAAGTGCTGAAAAGCTTCAGTGCCTTCAAAGCTTGTTACTTTGACTTTTTTTTGAAAAATCCTGGAAGTTTAAGAAACAGTTTTATCATATACTAAAGCCTTTGAAATATAACAAAAAGAAAACTTCTTGGGTTTTAATTTCCATGACAAAAATCTACAAAAAAAAAATCAAACCCATATACTTACAATACATATTATTTTAGATGCTGTATTTATGCAAAAGCAAATCGTGTTATTGTATCTATATAGAACAGTGCAGGGATCACAAAGAAATTCCTATACTAGTCCAGTCTATAAACTGTTTGAATGCTACTGGGTCCATCTGCTTACCTGAAAAAAAAAGTGCAACCACAAAAAAAAAAAGGAAATACTTACTGTTCCGTCTTCTCAACTAAAATTCAAAAGTTCTACAAGAAGTCTATAAATCTGTCCTCTAAATCTGACATTGAAGAATAGTTTCAAAAATTTTAAATAGTGCCACATTTCACAGATAGCCAGTTTTTCAAATCTGGGAGCACATATTAATACAACCAGTCAAAGAACTCTCCTGAGGGGATTGAGTGTACTCTCAGTAAACTCACCAAGACCAAGTGCTGGATCCTTCACTTTGGCCACAGCCCCATTCATCACTGCAGGCCGGGGGAAAGGTGACTGGAAAATGGCCCAGAGGAAACGGGCCTGGGGGTGCTGATCAATAGCGGCTGAACATGAGCCAGTGTGTGCCCAGGTGGCCAAGGCCAGTGGCATCATGGCTTGGATCATGAATATTGTGGCCAGTTGAACCTGGGAAGGTATCCCCTTTATTCAGTGAGGCCACACCTCAAGTCCTATGTCCAGTTCTTGGCCCCTCACTACAAGAAAGACATTGAGGTGCTGGAGCATGTCCAGAGAAGGGCAATGGAGCTGGTGAAGGGTCCAGAGCACAAGCCCTGTGAGGAGCAGCTGAGGAAGCTGGGGTTGTTTAGCCTGGGGGAAAGAAAGCTCAGGGAAGATTATATTGCTTTCTACAACTACCTAAAAGGAGGTGTAGCCAGGTGAGGGTCAGTCTTTTCTCCCAGTCAATTGGCAGAAGAATGAGAAGACATAGGTTCATGCTGCACCAGGGGAGGTTCAGGTTAGATATCAGTAGGACCTTCTTCAAAGAAAAGGGCTGTCAAACATTGGAATGAACTGCCCAGGCAGGTGGTTAGAGAAACCATCCCTAGAGGTAAAAAGCTTTCAAAAATACTAGCACATCTACAGAATGCACATTCAAATCTCATGTTTGTAAGTAATTCTGTGGATGCTAAAAACTGCTTTTGTACATTACTATAATCATGCCTATAGTGTTGTAACATAGCTATAACCATGTATTCTGAAACATCTAAACACACATAGCCTGAATAAAATATTCAGTTTTTTATTTTGCATCAGTGACACAGTATTATATTACTAACTGCAAGACTACATAATTGTATATAGTAATCAAATTAATTTTAAATAATATAACAACAAAAATTATTTTTAAATGTTCCCTTTTTAATTTTAAGAACTTACACCAACATTAGCCAGTTGATCCTTGGTGGAGAATCACTATGCACTATCATTTCTTAGAGACTTTATGCAATTTTTCCCAGCTCACAAATGTTACAGCTAGATTTTGCATAAAAGCTCCTGGCTCTCAGCTACATACTCAAACACCTACCCTTACCTGATGATTACAAAAAGGGTAAAAAAAAAGAAAGATGAAAACAGAAGAATTTCAGAATCCCTTCTTGTAAAAGTCAAGGCAAATCATAGTTCAGTGGAAGACTACTAGCAAGAATGCTGTATCTAGTAGACCTGCCTCTAAGATGCAAAGGCTCAGAGGTCATAAATTGTCTCTGTAACATGTTTTTCTTCCAGGTTTATCCCTTATTGATCACCACACTTCAGTTAGTAAATCAGGAACCTATTGATTATTCACTGGCTCTGACTGACCCAGTGGTAAAAGTGTCATTTCAAGTGGCTGGTGTACTTTACAGGCACCATAAATCTGCAGGGAATCTCCAGGTGGTAAGTACCTTGGGAGAGAGAAGAGCGAAGACTGCATTCAGGGATGAGAGTCCTCATTAAAGCCTGGACAGAAAGGATGTCTGAGGTATAACTTATGAGAAATGGAGATTTTTGGTAGATAGCACACTTCTCAGTGTAAATTTCTAATCACTAGCTTCCATGAAGGTCTATTTCAGTGAAATAATAGAACTAATGAATCCCAATTTAACAGCAGACTCCTATAGACTCCTACAAACACTATCCCTAGGAAAATCAAGTCATGGATTTGCATAGTACCCAACATAGCAATGGATAGGCTGAATTATAAAATGTAAAAATATCACAAGTTGCAATGATTAATTATTTCTCCTTCCAAAGCTAAATTTTAACAACTCTTCTGAACAGTTAAAAAATACTCTACAGTAGAATAGAACAGGGAAGGTTGACAGAAAATGCATTTGTGCATTGTCACAGCCCTCTCTGTGAAGAAGTTTGAGAACACAACTTTGTGAGTTGAAAGATCTGGACCTAAACTTACAAAGTAGAATAGGACTTACACTGTCCTTACTAGCCTTCAATCCCTTCTGCTAGGCCTCCATGCTTTCTTTAATTTTGCATAAACAGTAATGAGAAGATAATTTCCTGGTTTCTTTTGTACTACGACAGGTTTATCATAAGAAAAAAAAACAAAGTTGCAGTGCTTAGTTACAGGTGGATCTGCCAGGTGACCAGAGACTAACATGAAATGTAGTTTACAATCTAGAGATGACTGAAATTCTAACCCTGGAAGAGAAAAAGCAGAACACACTTAGAGAAACACATCAGGATCAAAAATGTGACTGTTTTGTTGGCTGCAATATATTCAATTCACACAGCAGTCACTGCCAGGAGTTAGTGAGTGAAAAATTACACATGTGTAGGAAAAATGGCTTTCAACAATATGAAAAGTCTATAGTGTCTTTTTGACAGTGATAATATTTTTTGTAATGACAAACTAAAGGAATTACTCAGGAAATACTTTTTGTCTTTTGTTTTTAAATAGTACTTATGGCACCCAATTCTGTATGCAGGTCACGCTGGAGAAAAAACAGACTTTGTTATGCAGAAAGATGAAATTCATGGTAGTCTCTAATGTGTCAGAAGTAATGCTTCCTTTCATTTCTTTTCCATGTATTTATTCTATGACTTTATTTACATGATTTTTAACGATCAGCACTTGCATACAGAGGACTCCCATCTCACTTCTACAGTTTGAGGAGACCACGCACTGGAGCTTGCCACTTTTTATATCTACCACAGTATTTCAACAGAAAATTAGGATTGGCAATATAATCTGTGGGAGACAATACAGAGCCCAAGCAGACACCAGCCCACAAAGGATCTTACTGGACAGCATCAGGACCCTGAAAACTTCACTATCTGTGAAGTCTAAACTGTAGCATGAAGCCCACTCTTTTAAAATTCAGGGTAAAAACCAGCTCAGTCTCACAACAAAGGTCTCTGAAAAGGCCATACCGAGCTAAATGTGACAACCTGTGGCCTTGGAGGCAAGAGGCACACTTGTGGGTGTATGCCTCTGGCTGTCATCTCACGTCATCCAGCTTGTCTGCTTACATTCTTTATTCTAACCCTATCCTCAGAAGAAGCAAAGCATGTGGATTATACGATGAAAGTGAGAGGCAGTCATTAGTCTAATACTATAAAAACAAGAGATGTTATTATCCTCATGTTAAAGTGAATGTTAATAGAGACTGCCTCTTAACAAAAATACTGCTACTAAAACTCCACACAACCCAGCCGTTGCTGTTGTGATGCTTTATTCAGGGCAAACACAAACCAAATGAAAGGCTCTTTCTCTAAGCCCTGAGGTGTTACCTGAGGCTGTTGATGATGGCTTCACAAAATTAATAGTAAAAGCCGAATTCTTCCTCCCCTTTGACTACAGAGCCAGCTGGGCATCAGTCTAATCTGCACATAACATGTGTAAATCAATACAAGTTGCTTATCCTATCTGCATGCAAAGCTCTCACAAGCACAAGTGGTTCTTGCTATCACATCCCAGTGTAGATATTCCCAATGCACAGCAGTCTCCTGTGTCCTGCAGAGCCTCTTGGGAAGGCTTCTAGAGCACATTTTCAGATTCCAAAATCTCTAATAGGTCAGCTCACTTCTTCAATCATCTAAATCTCATAGATCTTCAACAGCAGCAGTCTGTTCCCCAAGTAAGCATTATAATGATGTAGCAATTTCATTCCTAAAAGTCTGCATGTGGCAAATTCAAGTGAATGCATTTTCTTCTTGTTTTCCATGTAAGCACTCCAAACCAAGATGTAATCCCATATATTATATTCCCTATTTTCACACTGAATCACACTGTAACTGTGCCAGAAAGACTCCTACTGTTTGCTAGATATGCTGAGTACACAGATTTGAAATAGCAAGTAAAAAAATTCTGAAGCCAAGGGGAATTTATTTTTCACTCCAGAGATTTAGGATTCATCAAAATGGGAATATTCAGCCCCAGTCAACTGCATGTGACACTAGGTTGATAGCTGCTGTTCATTGCATGCCTGTCATAAGAATTCAGTTATATTCCCAACTGGAATATTAGCCAGGCTTTAGCAAAGAAAGACATGAAAATCCTCCAACTAAATGGAAAAAGTGTAAAAAATAGGGAGAAAGGTTGCCTAGAATGCACTGGATAGTACTCAAGCAGGAAAGTATGAAATTGTGGACATCTGCTCACTCCTTCAGCTGCCTCAGAAAAGGCCTCACATTGCAGGCAATCCCTCCTGTACTTCCATATACTTGGTAAGAGGTAGAAATATCAAGATCTCTGTTTACAGATACAGAAATGACAGAACAATATTTATTTTCATAAGAGTATTTCCAGAGTCAGAACTAGAATTTAAGATATTTGAGTCTGTTCAATTTAACAGCACCACCAAACCCAGAGTATGGGGGAACTGGCAGTAAATGAGATCACTCATGCCTCTACATCTTTATCCCATGTCCCAGACAAGATGACAGACTTGCTTGTAAATCAGATTACGCTCTAGATTTACAGTTAGTATTAACATTGCAGAGCAATTGTCTTTATCTATGTTGTTCAAAAGTCTAATACAATTCTTCAAGTCTCCACCTTCAACATCTGCCTGCCATCCAAGGTCCACTTTTCCTATGACCTCCAGCAGGAACATTTAATTGCTTTTTTTCACTCCTAATCCTATTTTCTAAGCTAGGAAAATAATATATGGCATTAGGGACAATATATCTTCTACCTTCGTCTCTTATTCTGCCTACTATTCAAATCAAAGGGAACATTGGTTCTAGGCTCTTCTCCTGCCTCTTATCCTGCCTCAAGGGAATAGCATTCCATCAACTAACAACCTACAACATCTTCTCAGCTATAGGATATTGAATAACCAACATCTAAAAAAATATTCAACTTCAGCCTATACAAAATCCTCTTAAGTAGAAGCTCAAAAACAAAATTCTGTTCAGACCACTCCACCCAGAGAGGCAAACAGGCAAAGGGGAAAGAGGGAAGGATTCCTTGAGTTGCCCGTGTAAGTCTCTACTTGCTTGCTTTTAGCAGTCTGCATCGTGAAGTCAAAACCTTAACAGACAAGACATGATTAGCAAACGTTTTGTGCTCTTAAAGGAGAGTAATTATAGGCATGTGAAAAAAGAAGAGATCCCTGAGGTACTCTTCCTTGCATGCCTCCCGAGAGGCAGCAGGGCCATTAAAAATTCCATGATGAAGAGGAAAAACAGTCTGGGAACAGCCAGGAGGCAATACAGCAAATTAATACAACAGCCATCCCTTGGGAAGACTGCAAGAAAGCAGAAAACTCTCCTTGCTTCACAAAATAAAATTACAGCACTAATGATAACAGTCACCACACACACAAAACTGCTTCTAATGATGGGTGTGAAATTCCCAGTGCTGTGCATACACTTTGAATGAAAGCTCTTCTCATCACAGACATAAATCAAGAAAGGTAGTGTATGATTTATACTGCTTTTCAAACAAGACTTCCCAAGGAACCTTCCACATAGGCATGTCGGTGTCAAGGAGGAGGTTCCTTCTCAGTCCTCAGCTGCACTCAGTATTCTGGCCTTCAGCTCGGCTTAAACAAAAGTACTGGGTTACCAGTCTTCCAGATAAACTGCACCAAAATCCACCAGTGAGACAAAGAAAACAGTTCCATAGCAGAGAAAAGACTCCATTTGGTAAATATACTCCATTGGACACACTCTATCAGAGCAGAAACAAAGCAGAGAAAGGAGATTTTGCATGGCACAGCAGGCATCAGATTGAAGAAACTGGATGGCCACAAGATCAAGACCATTTATTTTCCAATATGTTTCATATTATTTGAGAGGATTTGCTTCCCACACACACATCCCATCCTGGCAAATTTCAGAGCAGAATTTCTCCAGGATGAGGTGCAAGCTGTTAGAAGCTTCCTGAAGCACAAACTACTGAAATTGATTCCTTACATGGCAAAAGCAGGAGATGTTAACTGGGGCAATAGTTTATCTGAACTTACAGATGAACCTCCTGTAAGAAAATGGACTACTAATGAGTATGCTTGGCATGTAAAGCTGAAGAAGAATTACTATCAAGAAGATGTTTCTCTGAAGGAACAATCTCCTTCTGTGCCCTTAGCAGCATCTTTATGTAAAGGAAGCTCCTTTTACCAGAGTTCAACTTTTGCCACATTGTGGCCCCAATGTGTTTTGGGGCCACAAAACACACTCATTCTTTCTTTCTCCTATAAAGGTTCTTGAGCACATTTCACACTAGAATAGGAACTATTTTCTCAAACTCCAGGCATTTAAAAACAGTATTGCATCTGGGATGGTACAATTTCTCTGTCAACTCAGTAACAACTCATCAGTGATTATGTTTGTCAGAACACCAGCCATCTGTTCATTAGAAGAGAGAACCAAACATATATATTAAATGGTTAACTAGACACCCAGAAAAACCTGGCAAACACAATCCCTCCAGGTTTAGAAATCCCTTGAAAAGAGCTTGGCTTTGCAAAGGGCCTTCACTGACCATCATAAAGATAGAGATTTTGCCTAGCTTGAATTTGCAAGCAGGATTTGTCCAGCTCACCTTTCTGGAAGACAAACTTCTATAAAGCACCAAGTAAAACACTGGAGGCAAAAGAAATGTTATCCTAGCTGAAAATGCAGAGACCATTCAGTCTTCTTGCTTCACAGGCAGAAAACATCCCCAGAGTGGGGCAAAAGCACAGAAAGGAAATCAATTTGCTGATGCACAATCTTCTGAATTCTTTTTGCTCTCATCCAGTTAAACATTTACGAGCTGACTTCTTCTTCCCTCCCCTTTTCCAGTTTTAACATGCTGGCTTACAGCAGCATGAGGTCATGGTGCGACATCGCAAAATTCCCTGCAGAAGCCAGTGGGAAGAGAGGCTTTGCTGGGTGGGTGCCAAGCTTCTGTTCAGACACATACAACCTTAGTACATTTTTCATGCTCTATTTGCTAATTAACAAGGGAAAGAAAGCCATGAAGCTCAAAGTCCAGACATTTCTTTAAGACTGGGTCCCTGAACAAGCACATAAGCAGAACTGTGTCCAAAGTAAGGCCTTGTCTACCTGCACAGCAAAAGTGCTCAAGGGCACCTTACCTTTAGACAGTCACCTGCAGCACAAAACCAGGAGTCACCTCTAAGGCCAGCATTTGTATTTAATTTAGGATTAGTCAGCAGAAGGTGCCTGAATAGTATATTAACCCGAACTATGCAGACTCAAATATACCTAACATCTGGCCAAACCAGATCTAAATTTCAGCTATTGCTATAGAGTGGTATCAAGCTATTAGAGGTCACCTCAGGTGAGTTTTTAATCTGCTCAGAGGGTCTATTTTAGACACCTAAGATAGCAAAATGCTTCAGCATGTCACCCACACCAGTTTGTCGGCATTTTCCCTCTCATCTTGTTCCAATTTTAATAGTGGGCAATGATACTATGTCCATTTGTACCTATAAAAAAAGCCTTGCAGCAACTCATTGCACATTTCAGAATCCATTGCAGTTACTTCTAAAGGAACAGTATGTTCTGCCTGTCTGTCATACACTTTCATATACTGCAAGCACTTAGTTCATTGAAATTCTCAAATAAACTGCATTGCTACGTTTTGTGCTAAGTTCGGACATGGACTTCCCAGGGGAAAGTGTGTTAAGTTACAGGTCCACTCCTGTTCAGATCACACAGTACTACTGAAAACATCCAGGAGAGGGAAGTGAGACACCCCCAAGAAAGCAGAGCAAGGGAGTTACCTGGCAGTGCAGTGTGCTGGTGAGCATCTTCGGTGGGAAGCATCAGCAAGCACATCCAGAGAGTACAGAGGAGATAATGGATTGAACTGGAAAGTCAAGAGATTTTATTTAAGCAAAGCATTGAAAGAAACAGTGTCCAGATAAAGCTCCTCAGATCTGTTCTGTTCACACAGTATAAGGAGACTTTCAGCGGTTCACATAGTATAAGGAGACCTTTCTGGCACATCAAGGGGTAAGACTAGATGAGAACAGACTCTCAGTTCAGACAAAAGGCTAGCACAAAGGGTGGAACAGCAAATCTCATAACTACCTTCTCACAACAGACAGCCTCAGCACACTCTTCTTCCAACCTGCATTATTAAAAATGCTGATTGACTAAGAGCGTAAGTGCTCTATTGCTGCATGCCATGAGAAAAAAATCTGCTTCTCTTTCAGAAAGCCTCTTGTCTACCTTCACATTGTAGAGAAAAAAGTCACTGTTATGAATAGTGCAAGCACAGGGCAGTTCCTGTATTCCCAAGGGCTGTGTATATCACTGAAACAGACCTCTAGAAGACACAGGTCCACCAAGTTAAGCTCACAATGAGTACCCAATTCATTCCAGTGCCAAGTAAGCTGCCCCTTCACTCCTCTCCAACCTCACAAGCTGTCTTTGCAAACTGCTTAAAACAAACTTTTGAAACAATGTATGGTCAGGCTAGTCTAAGATGCTCAGACATACACTAGACAAATCTTGAGGACATCAAACTTGTGCAAGACAGCTTGTTGTACAAAATGCAGTGGTCAGGATTTTTAATGGTCAGGACAGAAATGGAAGAATCTGGTCAATCAATGCATGGAACAAACTTTGCTCAATATGTAAATAGAAGCTTTAGACTGGTAGTTTCTCTAGGCTACCTGCTTTATACTTCCATTTGGCATTTCCTCTTTATTTATAATTCACACCTCAAGCACAAAATGAATTTCCATCTGCTTTGCAAAGTACTACACCGATCTCCAGAACACTTTTCTTGCATTTTTAAATAAGGACAAAGGAACAATCCACACCTGTAGCTGGACTCCTCATACAAGCTGTCTGCAACTTCAGAAGTCAGTACTAGGCCTTTACGCTCCACCTTTCTGAGAAAGAAGATGCACCACAAAGCTGCTGCTATCAGGGAGCTCCTCCTTAAGTGGGACCGCTCATTTACTGTCAGTAACACTGCCACTGCACAATAGGGAGAGTCACCAGGAACCCTCTGTTACTGGAATGGCTAATTCAAGTTCATTTAAGAAAAATAAAAGTTATTTACTTTTGGTCATTTTAAAGCTTATGTAGTTACACGTATCTTTAGACAAGAGTATTATTATAGTAAATACACAATTGCACAAAGGCTTGAAAATTATGCATTTTTTAGTCACCTGAAAGTTAAAAAAATTCAGTCCTACTGCTCACCAACCATAAAATAACTCACATAGGAACAGAAAAGAGTGTGCATGGCCATGTTACAACATGACCGCTCAAATGGAAGAATAGTTTTTTTTTCTCTTTGCTATTAAGAACCTGAGCTTTTATATCTTAAAACAAAAACAAATAACCTCCTAGCACTGAAGCTAAGAAAGACTTACTGGAGAATATAAAAGTGCACACACAAGAGTTTCAGTTACAAGAATGCCTATTTCTCTTGCTTATCACCTCTTACATTTTCCTGTTACAGCTATTTAACTACATAATTTAAGCTCACCATTTTTTTCCCTTCTCTGTGGATGAGACTATTCAGGTAGAAGCCTGAGCCAAACATGGCAAAACAAAGCATTTAAAAAGAGAAAAATGTTCCAATTCTTATGGAATTTTGAGAGGCCAAAGCTCCTCCTGTCAAAAGGCATTTTCCCTTCCACTCACTGTCAGAAAGGATGGCAAACACTAACCTGAAACAGGGAGATAAATAAAAGGAGTTCCTAAGCTATTCAGTTTAAATAGACAATACAACGCACAGAAAACGGGTTGTGTTCAAAGTCCAGAAGACATCAGTTAACAAAATGAGAAGGGACAGGACTGCCTTACCTCAAGTGCACAGGACACAGTGTGTGCGAAATCAGAAGCAGGCATTGTGTTCTTTCTAGAGAGAAGGAAACCAAGAAAATAAAAAAGGAAAAGCAGAGTCACCTTACCTGGTTGCGATCTCTCTTCCCCATGGATGGTAACCAAAAACTGGAAGGAGGCAGAGTCGAAAGGACAGGTGGGCGCAATGCCAAGGAACGAACATGGTGGGGAAAAAAAGGAGGGTTGGGGATAAGAAAAGAAGAAAAAAGGAAGAACAAAGATGAAGGAAGAAGGAAAAAGATTAAACATCATCAGGAGTCATATTAAAAACAACAAATTTCAGACTTAAGGAAGAAAATTAGGTATCAACAGCTGGTGAAGACTGGACCCACCACACTACAGTCAAGACATACCATTCTTACCTATCCATTCCCCAGAACAGCATTAGGGAGATGCCAAAGGATAAGCACCAAGACTATTTCCAGTGCTGACTACAATTTAAATACACTAATTGTAGAAGGAGACATAACAAAAAAGAAAGAAAAAGTAATTTCACAGCTGCCTTGTCAGCACCATTTCTGCAGTCTGGGTATGTGCCCATAGTACAGCTCCACGAAGAAGCATTTTAAAAAATGAACATACGGGGCTGTCTCCTCTTAATATCCAAAAGACATGCAGTTAACGCAATGGCACATTATAAGGGAGGATGAAAAAAAGAAAAGCTGACTGTAAAAAAAGAGTATTTGAGTAGCATCCACACACTGGGGCAGCCTTATATAAACATGTAACAAAGGGGAAGTCAGCAATTACAAGTAACAAAACAGAGAAGCCATCAGTAGAATACTGTCTCCCATTCCACAGATTATGCTTAAGTGTCCACCCAGTTTTTCATGTTCTTCACCCCCAGAAGGGAAGAGGATCCTACAGCTCTTCTTCCCTTCCCAAAGTTCTATACAACAATTGTTAAGGGCCTTACTCTTTCTGGCGCGGATCACTAACAATATGACCTAGCCTCTCGGTGCCCAGAGTGCTCATGGAGGTCTCCTGAAATACAAAGACAGGCAAAACGTTGCAAACTCATACAGTGAACAGAAAACAGTTTGCTGCTACCAGTAAGAATAAATCTTACTCCCCTGGGTCACATCCTTTCCTTACCAGCCCACTCTCAGCTAAACATGCTTACTCCTTCCTTTTAGAACTTCACCTGAGATGACTTAACTTATTAGAATGGCAGAAAATAATTCAATTTTATTTATGAGGCTTGTTTTTTATTTTCAGTGATGATATTTGCTTGCACAGGGCACACCATAAACTGGACTAGAAAAAGGTATGCAGCACAAGGATGCATGAGAGCAGGGGAGACAGCTAGGATGTGCTTCTTTCCATGTTACTGGGGTCAGATGGGCTATAAACAGGCTGAGATAGGACACTACACTGTTCCATTAACAGTGGAGATTCACCAACCACCAATGAGTATTTATTAAGGAATGAAGCAAGATGCTTTTGCCCTTTCTGAAAGTAGCAATTCAGCAGCAGGACCTCCAGCAACTAAAGAAAAGGCAGATCCTGAGAGAAATGGATTGCTCTGGGAGCATGCTGCTTCCTGCAAGATGCTGCCTTGTGTATATGCTCGATGCTGGCATACACGTACATGCACAGCCTGAAGCACCAGCTGTTCACATCTGCATAGCAACTGCCTCCAAGAAAGAAGTATACTTTCCAGCAAGGGGCAGAAGATGAGGGCAAAAGTCTTCCACAGGTAAGGTTCACTTGTGTGAGGTACATAGGCAAAACACACTCAAAATTTGGGGGCAGCTGTAGCAGCAAGGGTGAAAGATGGGCTATTTGTTACAGGAGGAAAATTATTAACTTAAAGTGCCATAATGTTTAAATTTACAGTTTATTACTGTGTAAATTACCAGCCGTACTTTTGGTAATTAGCAGCTCGCTGGCGGGGAGCTCTGAATGAAACTCATTATTTATGATTACAATTTTGAGAGAGATGGGGAAGGGGGAGCAGTGACCTCCACTGCAAATGACAAAGATCCCTTTAAGGTGATGAAGATGAATTAAACAAGTAAATATTATCCTTCTCATTTGGATCATTAGAGGTGTGCCACCAGGCCCAGTCACTCGCAGGTGGCCTCAGGAACCCTATGTAAAGTCAGTTTCTTGCCAGCTGAGGATCATATTTTGAATGCCGGTTACAATTAAGCAAGGTGAGTGGAAGAAAAAGGGGCAGACAAGGATCTTTCAAGTATGACTGAAGAAAAGGCAGCTGTCACACTCCTCTAGACTCCAGGCCCCCCTAACACGCCTTGTTAGCAGACTACAGCCAGCCAGCTCAGAACTTATGCCAATGTTTTCAAAAGCACAGAGCACATCACAATAAAAACAAAAGCCAAACACAGCCAACACCTTCCTTCTCAGAATCATCTTTTACAATGAACAGCAGTGCTCAATACTCCAGAATGCAGACCTAACCAGGTATACCCCTCTGTTCTAGAAAGACATCTGCAAAGTACTGTTTGTTCTATTAGCAAAAGGACTGGTATGTTGTTTGGTGCTTGCCCTACATATAATAAAACTAGTCAATAGCTTTGGGCAGTTTTGTCTGCCTTTACTACATATACCTTTTTACTCTCCTGTCTTCCCACTAAAAATGCAACTGCTAAAACCACCTTCCTTTGCTGCCATTCATATCAGTCTTCTTCCCTATATAAAATTTGGCCTTCCTTCACCTTTGAAGCACCTCTCTGCCATTGTAGTCTCCAATGAGCATGCACAAGTCTCATGCCATCATCATTTTCCCCTACATTCTGTCTAAATCTTCTTGATATTTACGCTCCCTGACATTCTTCTTCAGGCTTCCTTTCACACTGCTTTCAGCACTGATCAGCTGTCTTTGCCACTTCAAATGTGCCTTAAAATCCACTTAGTCACTCAATCATCTTCTGACAGTCAAAGCAGTTAAACAAATCAAACAATACATGAAACAAAAAAATTTAGAGGACCACTTTCTGCAGAAAACAATTTACGTGGCATCTTAGAATAGTACTTCAGGACTGACCAGAATTTGAAATACAAAATTACCATCTTTCAAAAGGGCATACCTTGCCAACCAGCCTTCTCCGACCTTTACGGAGACAACGGGCAGCAGCTCCTGGAAGGCGATTCAGGCGAGCATGAAATCCTGAAAACCAAATGCAGAAAAACTGAGCAATGAACACAGAAGATTTCTCCTGACAAAGCTACCAGGAAAACTCCTTAGTTCAGTAATCAAATCAGATCGTCTGTCTCTTGTTTTTCAGTCTTGAAGATGCAGATATGCCAGTTTATTCACAAATCAAATTAAATCCTTACATTTAAAAAAAGAAGACTGCCAGTGGGCAGCTGGTATGACTGTTTCAGTAAACTCACCAATAGTGCAGCTTTTCCTTAACTGGATCTTTAAAAAAATCCCAAATAGATCACCAATACCAGTTTAAATGCAACACCTATGAAAAGAATCTACTCTTGCCCTCATATCACAATTTTTCAAACACAATTCCTTATGGACCTCACCTCTCTGGGCTGGCTGTGAGGGCAAAAGGAAGGTGGAAACAGAGAGCTTGTCCAGGCCTGAGTCAATCCTCTCCACTTCAGATCGGTGATCAGCTCCCCACTTGGGAAGAAGGTTTGGGACAGTGAATCCTGGAACACACTCTCCTTCATAAAACCAATCACTCTGCTCATCATCTCCTAAAGAAATAGGATGGAATTAACCACAAATAACATCAAGGTACTCTGGGACAGTCCCTCAAAATACTACAAGTAGGCATATGTGAATGTGAAACAGCTGAAGTCTCATTAGGAATTCGTTCTTGAAGAGCCTTATATTTGTATTCTGCTTCAATGATCCTCAGTAACTATGGGGCCTCACTAAACGCTTTAAACTATCCAACTCATCAGTCTCCAGAATTTCCCTGCAGAACAAAGCCTCTTTATAGACCTGCCTAGGGCAGGTTTAGCACTCTGTTGCTACTGCATCTCATCAACCTTAGTTCAATGTTGTGTGATGCCTGATGCAGAACTCTTTTTCTGAAGTAATTACTGTGACACTGGTAGAGGCCAATCATTTGGCATGTGTTACAGGCTGTCACAGGAGAAACTTTACAAGAGGCTCACAGTGTAAAAGCAAAAGAAACATACCAATGAGAAAGACCCCTAGTCTCCTAAGACATCAGCTAAGACAAAAACATGTTACTATCAGAAATGGTCACTAAGTACTAATCATGCTGTGAGTTGCTCTCATCAGCTTCTTAGAATCTCTAAGAGCTACAAACCCTTTGGAAAACTAAAGCAGCAGCAACAGAAGTCATGACCAAAGTCTCCATGGAGCTGGGTTGATATAGTTAATGCAGTTGCAGTCTAAAACTGAACTGCATCAGACACTGTTCACAGTAAATCCGTCTGGCCAGAAATTCCCTGAGAGCAGTAGCACATGAGCAGTGTACGAAAAAAAACCAGGAGGAGAGCAAAGAACCTGACACACATAGTATTTCAGTAGGCTAACTCACAAACAGTCCCATGTAATTGCAAGGTGCTTCATCTTGCCCTAAAAAACTAACACACCTATCTTAGGGAAAATTCTCATTTGCCTACCAATAAGTCTCATCTCAAGCATCCCTATTACTCTCCTTTCCTCATTGACTTTCATTATTTCTGACCAAAGTCTATTATACCTACTTACACATCTTGCTGGG